AAAAAAAACTAAATCTCTCAAAACTCGTACAACCATTTGATCCCATTTGGGACTCACGGATAATAAGTTTTTTCACACAATATAAAAAACTTTTTTCTCATTTGATTGAAAGCCAAATGTAATAAAACTCAATCAAACAAACGAAACACAAAATAGTGAATACAAACTCGTTTTTATATCTCATTTTATTTAATTGTATTAATAATATAAGGAATTTTGCCATCAATTCTGTTATGTGCTAAAGAATATTCACGTTTATGTCAACAATTCTTGAATGCTTTTAACTCAATGCCTGTCCCCTCCATATGTCTCGCATTTTTAGCCCACAATCGCATCCCAATACATAAAAACAACATTTTCACAGAATATTCCTGTTATATTAATTACATACAAAAAACATTGTAATTGTTTTGTCAAAAGTCTTGTGTTGAATAAGTTTTGTGTTGTTTTACTAACAATCAAAATACTCTCTCATCTCATCGAAAGACTACTATTATTGCTATTTATTATTAAAAAGGATGGGAAAAGTAGTACTCAAACAAAACACACACAAACCATTGCATAACCATTTGTAACAATGATTTAATTGCTTTTTATTTCGGTTGAGCTTAATATCAAATAAGAGGTCGTCGTATGATATGATATAATACACAACCAATAATTATATCGTTATTATAATTAATGATTTCTCTCATCAATTTGTTGAATGAAGTCTTTTTTTTCGTTATTCATATCAATATTACATCAATCGTTAATTCATTACATTATATACCCTCTGATTGTCTATAGTTTTTTGTTTGTTAATAAATCAGATATTGTTAACTTATGTCATGTTATTTGTATTATATATTCGCAAAGTATTGTTTGAGATCATTATTAGTGAACTATTTGGCTATTTATAGGACAGTCGACTCTAACACTACTTCAGATGAAACCATAATATGGTTTAAATATATTATATTTATATAAATATTTTAATTAATGATATTTTAATGTAAATGTTGTATAAATATCATCTAAACATTTTATCCGATTATAATTTATATATTATCTATCGAGTGATTATATCATATAATTATATTAATTATTATGTATTTATTGTAAGTTATAATTCTTGAATAAATTTAATTAATATAAATACCAAAAACCAAACAATTTGTTTATAAATATAAACGAATTAATAACTTATTTTCCATTTATAAGGAGAAGAATTTGCATTTTTCAATATTTTAAATACCGTTGAATACATGTCTATAAAATGGTCCTTATTTTGGGATTTTATAACTATTTATTTTATTTTATTGTATTATAAATGCAATCACTTATAATCGGGATCACAATCCGTTGCTTTAAGTCTCGGTTCATAATATTTTATATATGATTAGTTGTATTGTTTTGTTTGTTATATTCGTATATCATTATCGTATATAACAATAAAAATTCAATTCAATTCTTATTCAAACAAATCCTCTTATTTTCGAAATACCGTAGATTTACTCCAGAAATAAATTTAATAACTAATCAAATAGTGATTATATACTATTGATTACATTCTGCACTAGTGTTTCAAAGAATATTCTTGAGTCCCGTCCCTTCCGGTGCTGATATCAGCAAATTTATTAACCACAGGAATCGCTGACAATTCAAACACATTCAGAATTTTAATGTCCAAAATAATAGTCGATTGCATCAATAGTTTGCATACTTATAGATAAAATAAACTTTCAAACAAATAAATAATCACAAAATATGTAAAAATCTTATAAAAAAGTTAAATAAACACATCATTCGTTTATAATTTAAAATAAAAAACCATTTTATAAGAATATAATTTCATAATAAATCATAAAACAGGACAGGAATGGGAGTTATTACCCAATTTCAGAGACCATTCGTTGTGGTACTGAATTGAATTTTAGTTTCATATAAACAAAACTCTATTACTATATCTAAAAACTCAAAATATAAAAATAATTCAATTAAAAAATTTATACTATATTTCAAAATAACAAAAATCGTGTATTTATTTATTAAATCACTTTATTTTATCTCAAATTCAGTGAACAAAACACAAGTCATTATAATAAACATGTTTTTCTATTCAAATCAAACACACAATCAGTGTTTGAGCGCAAACTTCCTCTGCGGCCAAATCCTTTCGCGTCTCAACTGTTTCCTAGTCTTCAGCGACGACTCGTGTCGTGTGAGTCGCCGACGGATAGCGCGGGTCAGCTTCGGTCGCAGATCAATGGGCTTATGCTTCTTGTCTTTGTAGAGCTTCCGGAGGTTCTCCTTCTGGTTCTGACCGATGA